TTGGATTAAAAATCAAGTGAAATTATGAGGTCCATGCCAGGAGATTTCACATTATCTACTAAACTTTGGAGGCCCTCGTCCTTTAATTTCGTGGTGCAAAATATGGCCATGCCTTTCACTGAAATTTGGTAGACTCTATCCACATGCCACACCTGTTTTCTATTAGCTTTGCCATCAACGACTTGGTCTTTTCCCAGCTGGCTTCATATACGATGGGATTTGGTTTTTGCTCCTAGAAATAAAAATTGGAAAATACATAGGTTAAACTTCTTATATGCATTGTGTTAAGTTTTTAAATAACACATAACCATGCATGTGGATTTATAATTAAATAATAATATTTTAAAAATATAACCAATATAAAGAGTTTGGTGTAAGTATTGTCAATAAAAATATATTACAAAATGTTTATTATATTAGCATGATGATACTAACTCCGGTCCTTAATATAAGACCTCATTTGACTTTTAGTTTAGTCCTAAATATAAGACCTCAATCCGTTTTATCTCTTATATTTATGAATTTTTTTCAAGGTAGTCCTTCTAATATTGGTAGTTATAGCTAATATACTTAATTAACAAGGATATTTTAGGAAAGACAACACATATTTATTACAAATAACTAACTTAATGTCTTTTCTTAATCTCTTCAAATTAGTCAATTAGCTCTTATAATCAGAAACGGAGGTAGTATTATCTTTTTCCTTTTCTCATCCGCACCGTTTTCGGAGAGAATGACCTTAAACTATTCCTTTTTCTTTTTTTAATCAATCTTCTCGACCAACCAAAACATCTTTCATTATATTAAACTATCATAAGGGTTCCATTCCGTGCATGTTTCATCATCACAGTGCAGAACATCATTACATATAAATATACAGATGATCAGTATGGTTTTCAATTCACAGGAATCATGTAACAATATATATTACTATAGGGCAGAGAAATAGTTTATATTATCTTCACGTATACTGAAATTAAAGTAATAATGAAAGGGTTAGTGCCTAACGTTTCCCTAACATCTAGCATAGTTGCCCATATCAGTTTGGACCATCCATGTATACAATTTGCCTTGCGATGATAGCTACATGAGTCTAACCTCAAATAAAATAATACAAACAGTATTACTTTCGACGATGAGATGTTGATGGAAGAGTATAAAATATGTAACTGATGAGTATAAGAGCATAAACGAAAGCTTACAAGCATATGTAATAAACAAGATAAGCCTAATTACCCTTTGCCTGCATTAATGTTTCTGGACCACTAGGCAACTATAAAGGAACATTTTCAAAAAGCTTATTAGTTGAACCTCTCATCAATATTCAATTGTAACAAGTAATAACTATATATACGTATTTGGTTTCTTTTTAAAATAACAAGACATATAACCAGGGCAGGCTAAATTGACAGGCATCTACATATTTCTGAAATAATGAATCCCACTGGTCCAGCTTGTTAATAATGATTCTGCATTAAAAGAAGGCTACTATACAGAAAATACAGTGGTATTATATATGTAAGCAGATTGTTATAGTGCACATGTTCCTGTCAATACAGATAATAGCTGAAAGTTGAAAGGGCTATTTATGGCTTTGAGCTTCATGCTTCCACCTACTCCTGACCCCATATTTATATCTGTCTGAGGACCAGAGAAAAAAGCGATACACAAGCCCAATGTCACCTGCCTGATGCATCTGAATTGATAGCTCTAGGACCAGCAGATTTAAAGGTCTTTGAAATACGCAAAAGACAGCTTGTGGATATTGCTCAAATTATGAATTCCACAATCTCATTTGTTGGCGTTGATCATGATTAGCCTTGACTTTTGTGTGTTGTACTCACAATAATACGACAGAATTCAGTTCAGGAATTAGTTTTTCATCAAGTGAAAGTTTTTAATATTATCCGTGGTTTTTAAGAAGCCAATCAGAGGACGACAAACATTTCTTTGGTTTCTGTTCCTGCTTAATTACTTTTCCATCTGGCTTCTCTCAACTTAGCAGTTGTTTAGGGATTATGGTGCTTTCAACGAGTCATACCCATTAACGAATGCAGAAATTGTGATTCAATTCATTACTTCCTTTTGAGGCATGTTCTGAAGTAGATTTCAACCACCCTAGTCTTAGATTGGATTATTATAATCCACTTGTGTGTTTTTGGCTGTTGAAAAGCTTACATCGGTCTTTAGGAAAAGTTTTTTCTATGTGTGTGCGTATATATATAAATCCCTCCACCTTACTGCCAAAAAACTTTTGTCATTTAAACCAACGCCTATCCTTCATGCTGACAGTCATGTCCTCTAAAAGACAAGACAGAATACATATATATAATTCCTATAATACTTTGATACTTAGGATAAAGCACCACAAACAAAGTTGCGGAATATAAATTTGTCAAATGAGACATTAAAGAAATTTATATCAGCAACTTACCAGAATAATATTATTTGGGATTCCTCGTGTCACTGAATTTCATATCAGCTATATGTATACAATAAGTTTAGTGTTCATCTAGTAGGATATTGTTTGTGCTGTGGGTTAAGTAACAAGTCCTGATTGATCAGTACCTAACTGACTTCTTTTTCTTCTTTTGGAAGCAAGACTACTGCGCTTTTTCAGATTTCTTTTTCGGCCTGACGATTTTTTAAGCCTTATTTGCTCCATGAATGATGAAATTTGCCTTATGCTTAATGCACTAGGGAAAGGATACATCAACAATGCACGAATTTCTTTTTATACCCCCGAACATTCGATGCATTAAAACCTCGATTTAGATTACGAAAATAAAATGTAGTAATCGTTATTAAAATTTTTATTAGATTCTAGCTGAAGAAGAAAAAGAGAACTTGTATCCAATCTGTTTAATACCTTCAATTCCAAATGTTAAAAAAGTTTTTGTTTTGTAGGGACGAAGGCACATGCTAACGGGGCTCTCTGGTGCTTCCTGCGATTGGACCTCCAGCCTTATACGCAATGCTTATAGATTCTTTCATCACTGTCAGCCCATCAAATAAAAACAATTGGCCCATTACTAGGGAAGGTTTTTTTTTTGGAAAAATATATTTGCCAGTCCCTATAGTTTGATCAGATTTTGAATTAGGTCCTTATAATTTTATTTCTTTTTATTGAATCCCTTTAGTTAATCTTGTTAAATTTATCAGTCTTTCTGTCAGTAAAGGTTGCAAGCACTGTTAATGTAAAGGGATAGAGTGTGATCTGCTACTCTCTCACACACCAAGTTTGCTACCCCCTCTACCATCTGTCTCTCTCATCTCTCCAAGCTAACCATTCGCAAACTCCCAAAAGGAGTGAAGAAGGACTCTCTCAAGTTGCTAGTTTGTTTAAAATTTAAAAGTTCAGAAGTCTGAGTATATTGAAAAACTTTTAAGTAAAGAAAGACGAAGTCCCCCATTAATACTCCCTATACCTCGCTTGTTATCCCAACTTCTAAGCACTTACGCAGTTTAAAATTTTGCCTCTATGCTAATGGTGAAGCAATATGGTGTCTTCCATTGAGTCACGTGATCGAATCTGGCGCTCCTTAATTGAACTAAAACTTTCAAGCACTTACCATCTTCTCTCGTCTTTCTCTCTCTCTCTCTGTGTCTGTGAGGTCGCAATTACAAGAAGCTCCATTTAAGAGGTTTGCCATGATTGTTGCTGAAGCAGTGCCTAAGCCAAATCTTCAGGGTGTCTTTCCCACGGCAAAGGACCACACTTTCTCTTCAGCTAGAAGGTACTCCTTTCATTTCTTTTCTCTGTTCATACATGCTCTATTTTTCCTTGTTTCAAGCATCATGAAACAGAACCAAGAGAATGAATTGAAACTCTCTGCACAAATCTTGTATTTTTCCACATATTGGAAGGAAAAGTGGCCATAGTGATCAGAGGAGTGGGAGGAATAGGCGAAGCAATGGTAAGACTGTTTGTGAAGGAAAGAGCAAAAGCTGTGATCGCCGACGTTGAAGACGCACTTTTTGGTTAGATATTCTGTACCATTAGAACTTATCTATGCTTAACTCTTTAGCTTAACTTGAGGATCTTGGGATTTAAACAGAAAGTTTTCCTTTAGCTTTCTCTGTGCCAGTTTAAATTTCTTGTGATCTCATGCCACTGGCACTGCTGCTTAGTTTGTAAACTGAGCTTTGTAATTCCAATCTCTACTTGAAGAGGCAATATTTCTATCAGCCACTTCTTTCACTGTCCAAAGAAGACATGGAAAACTAAGAGAAATCCACATACAACTAGCTTGACATAATCTTCAACAATGTTGAGGTGTTAGGGAATCAATCAAAGAACAAAAGATTGTCAACTTCGACGCCAATGAGTTCGATTGAGTCATGTGAGTGAACGTGAAGGGTGTAGCTCTAGAATCAAGCATGTAGTAGAGTGATGATACCTAGGCAACTTGGGCGCATCATACCGACGTCGAGTGCCGCAGGAGTCAAGGGAGGACTGGGTCCTCATGCTTATAAAGCATCAAAGCATGCCATGGTTGGGCTCACGAAGAACACAGCTTCTGAGTTGATGAAATATGGGATTCAATTTAGCTTGTGAGTTGGGAAAATCCTATCAAACTCATCATGGTTAGCTTGGAGAGATGAGACAGACAGATGATAGGGAGAGCCACATACTTGGGTCAGAGAGAGAGAGTGAAAGATCACCCTTCACCACTTTACATTAACGGCATTTGCAACTCTTACTAATGGAAGGACTGACGAATTTAACAAAATTAACTATAAGGATTCAATAAAAAAAAATAAAATTATAGGGATCTAATTTAAAATCTGATCAAAATATAAGGGCCGGCAAATATATTTTCCCTTTGTTTTTTTGTAAAGAAAAGTCAAAGTTGAGAAATGAATTGTTCGACCGTTGACGCATTCATCATTATCTATTAACTTCATATACACAGCCACATGCAAAGTAAAAGAAAAAAAAAAAAATGGAGGAAAAGGTATATAACTAATCCAAAAAAGTACTTAAACTAATTGTATGATATCTAACAAAGTAGCTGAATTTATATTGTAAAAGCAACGCCTTGTTTAATTTGCAACGAGCTCTGCACACCTCTAAACTTGTATTATCTATTTCTTATGCTGCCGTCTCTGTTTTCTAATTTCCGGTGAGCCCAAAACCCAATATCTACATTCGTCTCCAGGGTCATTAATTCTACCTTCTAAAACATAGCTCCCATAAATTTGCTGCTTAACATTATCAAACTCATCTGGCTTCAAGTAAGCTTATTGTGACTTCATTGGTTGAGCTACGTTGCTTTTGACTTGAACTGGAAGTGTGTGGTTGAATTGAATCCTTCCCATGAAAGAAACCTGGCTGTTTAGGCTCAGGAAGTTCAGCTTCACTTTCCAACATCAGAACTGCAGATGCTATTGTAGGCCTATCTTCTGGATGTTGCTGCACACACAATAAGCTCACATGAATGCATCTTAATATTTCTGACACATTGCAAGTTTCCTCTATGTTCTTATCAATCAATTCTAACGACCTTCCTTCTTTCCACTGTATCCATGCCTGAAACAATTAACTTGGTTATCAGTTATCTCATTTTAATAGGGAACAAATAGAAAATGTTATAAAACTGTATATGATTGATACAGTACATACATAAGCAGTAAGGTTGTGTTTGGAGTCCTCTAGATAAAAGCCCCTATTTTTCTTTCCACATATAATCTCCAATACCAATACGCCATAACTAAAAACATCAGATTTCATTGAATATAGCCCATCTGCAGCGTATTCGGGTGCCATGTATCCACTATAAAGTATCCATTGAAAGTTAGAATAAAATAATTACAGGAGATATTAGAAAGGATGGAACATGATAATTTGAAAGTGATAGTCAAGCAAAAGACTTACTATGTTCCAACTACTCTATTTGTATTTCCTTCTGTTTGTTCTTCTCCAAAAGTTTTAGCCAACCCAAAATCTGATATTTTCGGGATCAACTTGTCATCAAGTAAAATGTTACTTGTTTTTAGATCTCTATGAATAATTCTTAGTCTTGAATCTTGATGAAGATACATGAGACCTCTACCAATTCCCAAAATAATATTGAACCGCTTAGACCAATCTAATAACTCTCCTTTGCTTTCATCTATAAATGTCGAAAAGCAAACATGATCAATGATTAGAACTAATAATTCAAGATTGATAAGTGGTTTCATTAATCATCACTAATACTAAGATAACCCATGCAATTAAAAACTGCATTAAATTTATACCAAAAATGAAGAAGTTCAAACTTTTATTTGGCATGTATTCATACACCAACATTTTTTCTTGCTCATGGATGCAACAGCCGAGAAGTTTCACCAGATTTCGATGTTGGAGTTTTGCAATAAATTTTACTTCATTTTTAAACTCCACCAACCCTTGCCTTGATTTTATTGAAAGCCTCTTCACAGCAATTTCTTGTCCATTCAATAATTTTCCCTGCATGCATGCAGTGATTTGTGAGCATATCATGATAATACTTATTTTACATAGCAGATTGTTCTTAGTTTATACTTCAGATGCTGAATTACCCAATAAACAGGTCCAAATCCACCTTCTCCGATCTTATTCTTGGCGGAGAAATTATCAGTGGCGCTTGTTACTGTTGCCAGATCAAACAAGGGGAGATCTAGATCATCCTCTGGACTCTCACCGTATGGAATATCATCTCTCACATCTTTTGATTTAGCTGAAAGCATGGTAGGGAAAAAAAAATAACTTTCTGTACAAGCAAGGGAGAAAAAATGGAAAACAATCAATATTAATTCCCTTTGGCGTCTGAAAACAGTCAATATTTAAGCATTAAAAATCAGTCTACTACCTTAACTACATAATTCACGTATAATCTGTACCCCTGTAGTTAAATTTTACTTGACATGATTTTAGCACCATATTTACAAATAATAGAGATATACCTAGCTGGTCATGCCGTATTAGTTCATAACAATCGTCGCAATTGTAGAAAGAAACCTGAAACTTCGGAACATAAGAAAATAAGGTCAAGTAACTTTACCAGTTCTGTTTCTGCGGACTCTGTAGATGATATAGCCCCCAACTAAAAGCAGACCAAAAGTTGCACCAAAGGTGATAGTAACGATCATTATCAACTTCTTTTTATTCCCAGATTCTGCAATTGTGGTTGAAATCATTCAAACTTTTAGAAACTAAGACGAAATCATGAATTGAATGGGGTTAGTTGGCTACTTTCAAACAAGAAAACGAACATATAAATCAGAAAGTACAAGTCTTTACTTAATTCTGAAGCATCCATTCGAACATATAAATCTTGCCCCCCAGACGCATAATATCTGACATCAATTAGATCACCAAACCATAAGGCACAACCACTACCTCCCCCTCTGATATCTGAATTAGTATAGGCCGTGCAAGAACAATTCTCCAAGCACTTCCTTTTGCATTGCTCTAGATTCATTGTCCTGTCAAGCCAAGAAAACGTAGTGTCTGGCACCTTCAAGCCTTTGAATTTAATGAACCCATCTTTGTCTCTTTCAGAGCAATTCAGAGGTTTCTTTCGAACACACCCATCTGCCCAGTCCACCGAATTCCAGTTTTGTGGCGACTTAGGGGTGAAGCCTCCCAAGCATTCGCACACCGGCGATTCAGTAATAATACAATTCCCATTTGGTCCACAGAGGCCATAGGTATCACAGTAATCTACAGGCTTGGTGGAATAAACCTGCCATGTTTTTGCAGTTTCCAGCCATACATAACGATACCGAGCAGATTGTGTTTGGTTCAACACCAATCTTGTCAATATAGAATTGTTATTCAAAAGGTCCATGTAATAGATGCCATCCTTATTGTCGACAAAGATGAAGTCGAAAACAGGGTTGGGCTTTATTTCAGGACCACCACTCCCATGAAAGCCATTCCATGGTCCAAATCGATAGAATCTTTTGTTCCCCTTCATCAAATACGAATCGGGATAGCCATGGAGCACTTCAACGCTAGTTAAATCACCGGGAGATGGATCATCTGGCCTCTTCCAAGCCGTTAAATACCATTGCCTACCAGTTTTCAAGTCCCATCCATATTTCATGCCTGGCAATAACGTATCAGAAGGATAGTCAAAGCTTTGCCATGAATAAGCATCTGGGTCTTCTCCGCTCTTATCCATCACCACAAGATTTCCAGAATCCAAGAGCCGTGCGGTTGGACTCTGTGCTTTTGCAGTGGAGTTTGTTGACCAAAGAACAGTGTTGTTTTGGGACAGAACAAGGTTGCCGGAAGTGGTCATAGTCAAGGCAACAGATGAATCATTGATTGGGTTGAGGCGGTTTGCAACCCAGACAACGGTTTGAACCGGGATGTTCTTGTACCAAATGCCAAGGTAACGTTTGTTGGAAGTACCAGGAGTGAAGAAACCAAGTTCAAAGGTTCCATCTTTCGAAACCAAGGTGGTTCCATTGTCCCTGAGGGACTCGGACCCACGAAGGGAATCCTCTGCTGTGGAAGGCTTGAAATAGGGAAGAATGAAAAGGATGAAGATACTCAAGGAAGGAAGAAGGCCCATGAAAAGTGGAATGAAGCCGAGGAGTCATAAACTCCAGAATTTGCTTGCTTCTAAGTGCGTATTGAACTGCTGATCGATTGCCGAAACGAGAAAGGTGCTGATTTAACATCATTTGTTGGCTTACTCCTTGACTTAGAAATTTATTTAACAATTTATTTGCGGAATTTTGTGTTTCACTTTGACTTGGGAATGTAAGGTTGGAAATGACTGAATTCAATGGAGGGCCAGCGACGTTTCTGGAGGAAGATCTGCCTTGATGATGAAATCTTAATGCCTGATTTCTTGAATTTTTATTGTTGCAGTCGATTTCTTCATTTTTTGCGTTGGCAAAATAGAATTACGAATGCTTTTGTCAAACGAGAACAAAGGCAGAGGGAGAAGTTTATTGCCATATTAGGTCAAAAAATAGGTCTTTTCAGGACACAGTTTCTTTGAAGTTTCTTAATATGGGTTATATCGACACTATGTTTCAAAATAATGCAAGTTTTTTTGCCGCAGCGTTTTCAAAGTCAAACTGCTTCAGTTGCAAAATCCTTGGGGAATCGAGTGACAAGAACATAGGTGCAATCCGAACCGTTGGTGTCATCTAACGGCTTAGCTTCATATGACGGGGGCATTAATCAACTAGTGCACACCCAGTTCTGCACGAAAGTGCCACTAATTCAAAAGTTGACTTGAAATGATTTTGACTTTGAAGGACCAAAGGATTATAATCCTCAATTAAGAATTCAGCACCAACGTAGTGCGTGCTTTTTGGAAGAAGCAAATATTCCTTATCTCTCACAGTGTCAAAATTTTCCTAGTTAAATCTCTAGCAATAATCAACTAAGTTACTCTTCCGATCCTTAATATAGGACCTAATTATTAAATTAATTTTGGTTCTAAATATAAGACATATTTATCATATTTATTAATTTTTTTTTAATTTACCTCTATGAATGCTCCCTCAACTATAATCAAGTAAAAAATGGAGAGAAGATATTAAGGAAGATGATTATGGTATTTTAGAAAAAATATGTCATATTTCTTATAATTAACTAACTTATCTAACTTTCTTAATCTAATCAAATTAGTTAAATATGTCTTATATTAAGGACCGGATGAGTATAATTTATTTCTTTTTAGCAAAAGTTAAAATTTATTTTAAAAAATTTATATGTACTTTTCTATTTTTGTTATTTTTTAATTAGCTCCTTATAATTTCTTTTAACTCATGAGGCATGTGGATGGAAACCAAATTATGATTTTAAAAATAATTTTATTGTATATGAAGTAAGTATGCGAAAAAAATTCTGCTTCAATTTGCATAAAATACTTTTTAGAAATGCTTCATAGGAAAATCAAACACCTCCTTAATTAGGTTTTGTGTTCCAAATGACTGATGTACAAAGATCACAGAGGCCTAGTCAAAAATCAAGTAAAACCATAAATACCTGATAAAAAAAATAAAAAACTTAATTAAAAATCAAGGACTTATATTTTTCCTAATTTATCATCTCAAACAAATAATTGTCTATTATACCTACATATTGATCATCATCACATCCTCATGCTCCATCCTCCCTATAAGTAAACTGGCTTTCAGAGGACAGTCCTTATACAGGACAGTAATAGGTCAGTTATAAAAGCCGATTGATGCCTGGTACATAAATCTGTAACCTGGTTAATTAGAAGCTGATAAGGACATCAACAGTTGTCTAACGAATAATGAAACATAATAATCATTTCATGGTTCGAGATAGTGTTCATAGGAGTCAGATATATGGCACTTTGTTATTAAGTTGCATGTGATGCAATTATAGCAGTGTATAACATGAACCTATGTATTAAGCCCATCACCAAACCATGACATTATGTTTACTACTCAACATAATCAAATTCATCTGGCTTGAAGTAAGGTCACTGTCATTTCATTGGTTGAGCTTCGTTCCTTCTGACTTGAGTTGGAAGTGTGAGGTTGAACTGAATCCATTCCATGAAAGAAACCTGGCTGTTTAGGCTTAGGAAGTTCGATTTCACTTTCCAACATCACAATTGCAGATGCTATGGTGGGTCTATCTTCTGGATTTTGTTGCACGCACAAAAGGCTCACATGAATGCACCTTAATACTTCTGATACATTGCAGGTCTCCTCTATGTTCTTATCAATTAATTCTAGAACCCTTCCTTCATTCCACAGTATCCACGCCTGCAACTCAAAACTTGGTCATCAGTTATGCCATTTCAATTTGACCGGGAAAAAAAAAGGGTCAGAATATTGTATATTTAACTACTCACATGACCAATAAGGTTGTGCTTGGAGTCTTCTAGATAAAACCCTCTATTTTTCTTTCCACATATAATTTCTAACACTAATATGCCATAACTGAAGACGTCGGATTTCATTGAATATAATCCATCTGCAGCATACTCTGGTGCCATGTATCCACTATAGAATATCCATTAGAAGTTCAGAATAACACAGTTAACGAAGATATGGAGAGGATTGAGCAAGATACTTTTAAAGGAAGAGTTAGATCTAAGAAACTTACTAAGTTCCCACTACTCTGTTTGTATTGCCTTCTGTCTGTTCTTCTTCAAAAGTTTTAGCTAACCCAAAATCTGATATTTTTGGAATGAACTTGTCATCAAGTAAAACGTTACTTGCTTTTAAATCTCTATGAATGATTCTCAATCTTGAATCTTGATGAAGATACATAAGACCTCTACTAATTCCCATAATAACGTGGAAACGTCTAGACCAATCTAACAACTCTCTTTTGGCTTCATCTGCCAACATTAAAAAGTAAATATGTCACTTGAACAGAATCATCAATATATTGTATAAAACATATAATAAGGTGCATTATTTATATTAGCCACAAACAATGCGCCGCCTCAAAATTTGTTTAATGCGTGTGAAAATATATCTTCTCATTACTTTAAAATTGATAAGTTGCTTCATTATTGACACTAAAATAGTCCATGCAATTAAAAGCTTTGCTAAATTTATACCAAAAATGAAGGAGTTCAAACTTCTATTGGGCAAGTATTCATACACCAACATTTTTTCTTGCTCGTGGATGCAGCAGCCGAGAAGTTTCACCAAATTCCGATGTTGGAGTTTTGCAATAAATTTTACTTCATTTTTAAACTCCGCCAATCCTTGTCTTGATTTTATTGAAAGCCTCTTTACTGCAATTTCTTGTCCATTCAATAATTTCCCCTGGATGTAGACACATAAAAGCATATTATGATAATATTCATATTATGCATAGCAGTAATTCTTAGTCTATGATTCAAATGTTAAATTACCCAATATACAGGTCCAAAGCCACCCTCTCCAAGTTTGTTCTTCTTGGAGAAGTTATTAGTGGCATTTGCTATTGCTGCAAGATCGAACAAGGGGAGATCTTGATCATCCTGTGGATTCTCATCGCCTCGAACATCATCTTTTACATCTTCCATGTTAGCTGAAAGCATGATAGGAAAGCATTAACTTTATGTCCGAGAGAGGAAGAATTGAAAAGCAATCAGTATTCGTGAACTTGTTAGAATGACTTGAAGCACCATTCTTACTCAACTAATTTTGATGTCGCTTGGGAAAACCTTGCATTTTAAATAACCTTACTATCAAGCTCACCTAGGATTGAAATCATGCGACTGTAAGTATAAATGTGTAGAGGTAAGGATAAATCAACACTAATGTCAGGAGGAAGAATAATGTCCTAATTTACCCCCATTGTCTAATAATATACTCATTCTAAGAACTGGAATAAATACATATCAAAAAGATTGTGAATGAAGTCCCCTGTTCAGGTTCTAAACGGTATGCTATTAATTAGTCCTTGGCCTAATATCTAGTATCTATACATAGCTCTATTTCACTTTTACTTCACAAGTTCTTTAGCACCACTTAAACAAATAATAGATTATACGTAGATATTATTGCCGTATAAGTTCACAACGGCCATAAAAAAGTTATAAGAAGAAACCTAAAACGCTGGAACTTAACGACAAATAAGAACTTTACCTTTTCTCTTTCTGCGAACTCTGCAGAAGATACAGCCCCCAACAAAAAGTACGCCAAAAATTACACCAATGGTAATGGTAACGATCATTATCACCTTCTTTTTATTTTCAGATTCTGCAGTCGTAGTTGAATCACTCAAACATTAAGAATCTGGTTAAAACCACGGCTTGAAAGTGGTAACTCGAATACTCAAATATGAAATTGAACATCATAAGGAGAAAGCAAGAATCTTTACCTAATTCTGAAGCATCCATTCGAACATATAGATCTTGCCCCCCAGACGCATAATATCTGACATCAAGTAAATCACCAAACCATAAGGCACAACCACTACCTCCCCCTCTGATATCTGAATTGGTATAGGCCGTGCAAGAACAATTCTCCAAGCACTTGCGTCTGCATTGCTCTAGATTCATTGTCCTATCAAGCCAAGACAGCGTAGTGTCCGGCACCTTCATGCCCGCCAATTTAATGAAACCATGTTTGTCTTTGTCGGAGCAGTTAAGAGGTTTATCTCGCACACATCCATCAGTCCAGTCCACCGAATTCCAATGTTGTGGGGACTTAGGCGTGAAACCATTTAAGCATCGGCATACAGGCGATTCAGTAATGATACAATTCCCATTTGGTCCACAGAGGCCATAAGTATCGCAGTAATCTATTGGCTTCGTCGAATAAACTTGCCATGTTTTGATATTTTCCAGCCATACATAACGATACCGAGCAGAGTCTGTTTCGTTTAACACCAATCTTGTCAAGACAGAATTATTATTGATAAGGTCCATGTAGTAGTACCCATCCTTATTGTCAACGAAGGTGTATTCGAAAACAGGGTTGGGCTTTATTTCAGGACCACCACTCCCGCGAACGCCATTCCAAGGTCCAAATCGGTAAAATTTTTTGGTTCCCTTCATTATATATGAATCCGGATAGTTGTGGAGCACCACAGCACTAGTAAATTCTCCAGGAGACGGATCATCTGGGCTCTTCCAAGCTGTTAAATACCATTGCTTGCCTGTTTTTAAGTCCCATCCGTATTTCATACCTGGCAATAACGTATCAGATGGATAATCAAAGCTCTGCCATAAATATGCTTCTGGGTCTGCTCCGGCCTCATCTATCACCACCAGATTTCCAGAATCCAAGAGGCGGGCGGTTGGACTCTGTGCTTGCGTTGTGGAATTTGTAGACCAAAGAACAGTGTTGTTATGGGAAAGGACAAGATTACCTGAAGTGGTCATGGTTAAGGTAGCAAATGAATCGTTGATTGGGTTGAGGCGGTTTGCAACCCAGACAACGGTTTGAACCGGGATGTTCTTGTACCAAATACCCAGGTAATGTCTGTTAGACGTACCAGGAGTGAAGAAACCAAGTTCAAAGGTTCCATCTTTTGAAACCAAGGTGGTTCCATTGTCCCTGATGAACTGCAACTCGGGAAGGGAATCAAGAGCAAGGGATGGCCGGAGGATAGGAAGAAGGAAACAGGCAACTATAGTGAAGCGAGCAAGAAGGTCCATTTTTTTTTTTTTTTGGGGGGGGGGGGGGGAACCGAAGGAGCAAGAAAGAACCTTTTCTGCAGCTTTCTATTAGCATGTGTTGAGCTGCTGCTCGTGGAAGGTTGAAACGACATTGTCCCCAAGTGGCAGTTGTTGACAATTACCGGGACAGGTAGGCTGCGTCGGCGTCGAGGAGCCGTGCCTCAGTTTATTCGATTTTTTTTTTGGCGGGGGGGGGGGGGGGGTTGGTTCACCTTTTGACTTGGAAAAATGATTTACGTATTTAATAAGTACTGTGTTCAATCTAAATATAAAAACTAATTTGATTTTCAATTTACTTCTAAATATAAGATAAATTCATTTTGTTTTTTATATTTATCTATTTTTTAAAATGATTTTGTAATAATTGCACATATAAAATATTTAATCTAATAATAATTTTAACTAATACATGATTAGCGATAGTATTTTAAAAAAGACAACACATAATTATTATAAATAACTAATTCAACAAACTTTTTAAATCTATTTAAATCAGTCAACTAACTCTTGTATTAAAAATAAGAACGACAATATGTAATATTTATTTTTTTCGGGGTGATTTTGAGTTTCCCGTTGACTTAGAACAGTAAAGTTGGCTATCCCCGACTTCAAAGTAACGCCGCCGACGTTTCTTGAGCCAGCTTGGCTTGTGGTGAAAATGGTAATTGTAATGGACATGAACTATGAAGTACTCAATTGAAGCTGCTTTTGTTGATCTAATTAATGTGTTCCCACCGTTTGGGGAGAAAGTCCCGAGATGAATCACAAGAGTTGTTGCTGTTGATGAAGAGCCAGTTCATCATAATTCATGGCGTCTGAACTTGAAAACATGCTCTCAGGTCCAAAAAGGAACTTGAAAACATGCTATTTCTAATCCTTTAAATGAGGAACAAGTTATTTTAGTCTTCCATTGGATTTATTCTTAATTATGACATAAGGCCATATGCTATTTTTAATCCTTAATATAATACCACCAGTTGATTAATTTAAGGTGATTTAAAAAACTAAATAACTTTTTTAAAATATTATATTTGTTTTTTTAAAATTAATTTTTTGGACTTATAAACTAATAGTATATAATCTAATAATACATACAAGTATTTAAAAAAATCATATAATATATATTATAATTAAATCATTGATTTAGTTTTTTTAATCTTTTTAGATTATCCAAATAGATCTTATATTAAGAATAAAATGTATTATTTTTTAATATGTTGTTTTATATATTTTAATCAGTAATGCTCTAATTCAATTCTATAACAATTCATTTATACATCATACTTATATAATTTTTTTTTGCCACCATCATAATTAAATGATTCAGTCGTTAAATTTCAAATAATATAGCAAAAGTCATGCATAAGTTAGTCTAATAATGTTAAAAATATTTTTATGCGTATGTTCCAAAAAGAAGGGCGATTTTTGCAGTCTTGTTCAAACTCAAACTGGTTTAGCTGAAAACTCCTGTTTAAATCTCTCGGTTTATTCAAAAGCCCCGGTAGTTGGTAGACCAAGAAAATATAGGAGGTTGACTCAGTCTTTGTTTTGGCTTTTTCTGCAAAGTATTTATTTTAAATCATTTACCGAGAGAGAGAGAGAGAGAGAGAGAGAGAGAGAGAGCGGGGGTTTTTTATTTTATTTTAAAAAGAGAGTGGGGTGGTTATTTATTGATGCTGTTAGATGTTTTCAGGAGGCTATTAGCGGACAGGGGAGATATGATTGGCTCAGGAGCAAATCTGAAGTTCTCTCTCCTTGGACTGTCTGGAGCATTGATCTCATCTGATGGCTGAGTTTCGTCCAATGCAGGCAAGAAACTATGCCAAGATGTCCGCACAAAGAATATTTTAAATCTAAACCATTCAGAAAATACTTTTCATGGTTTAGATTTAAAATTTTAATAATTTTTAAGAAATAAAATTATTTTTATTGAAAAAAATGATAATTATTTTAAATCTGTATCTATTAAAATACTTTTTTTTCCAAAAAATAAAAATAATAAAAACATAAATCTGGATTGTCTCTAAACAATCGGAAGGGACAAGGAATATGATTAAAGAAATCAACCGCTCAATCTTCAATGTCGTATCTAAGACTACAATTTTGATTGACTTTTTATTTTACATTAGCCAGCTTCACATTGTTCGTTTATTAATCCACCGTCAGCGTCAAAGCCCATAAATTAAATATGCAGTTCGAGCTTCCAGGAACAAGCATTTGAAAAAAGCAAGCAGTATCACCAAAAAGGTTCGTAATAAGACCTCGCCAAGATTCTTCCAGGGAAACAAATGGACTTGTATTCGATACATAGATAATGTAACCAAATCATTATCGGACATTTTAAGAAAGAATTTTAATGAGATCCTCAGAAAAAAATAATTATTAAAAAAATCTCGATAATAATTTAAACAACTTGTAATGACAAGTTTCAGAATAAGAAATAATAACTTTTTGAACTTGTATTGTTTTTTTTTTTAAGATCTCGTTATAATTCTCTCATATTTTTAAGTTGTGTACTGTGTATGCCTGTCTTGCAAGCTGCTACCTTGTCCCATGTCACCAACTAAAATTCTTTATTTTCTGCCATCATCTTTCAAACTTTTAAAAAGATAATTTTGTTCCCACTATTTTATATCAAACAAATAAGAAAGGGATTGTTTCTGGATGTATTGAGAGTGCCCACCCAAAACAAGCAAAGAAAAAAGGTTAAGACCAAGACAATATTGTGAACTCATGTATCATACGCTTCCCCTTAAAATGAAGTTCCGCAACTCAAAGCAATAATCGGATCATCATCCACCGTTTTCTTTTAATACAAGTAGGGTGAAATAAAAGCATTTTGTATGACAGAAAGCAGAAGCACACAAATACCCAGAAGTTTAGTCAAACCAAACCAACTTGGCCAAATTTATCTTTTAACATTGCAAAACCTATTTTAATTTATTGGTTTATCTGTTTATTATATAGCGCTACTATATGTCTCTCTCCTCCTAATTTTACATGAGCTCAGGGCCCCAAAAATTTCACTCGGCTTCAACACGTTCAAATCAATTCTGTACACCAATGTTTTAGACAATCTCCAAACAATATAATGATTTTCAATTCAGCTGTACATTCTTAAAATAGTTGCAATAAACGTTTAAATTTACTGCTCACCACTATCATCAGACTCATCTGGCTTCAAGTAAGGAAACTGTCATTTCATTGGTTGAGCTGTGTTCCTTCTGATTTGAGTCTGAACTATGTGGTTGGAATGAATCGTTGCCATTAAAGAATCCTGGTTGTTTAGGTTCAGGAAGTTCAATCTCACTTTCCAACATCAAAATTGCAGATGCTATGGTGGGTCTATCCGCTGCATTGTGCTGCACACATAATAGACTCACATGAAGGCACCTTAATACTTCTGATTCACTACATAATTCGTCCTTTATGTTTTTGTCAACCAATTCTAAAGCCCTTCCTTTCTTCCACTGCATCCATGCCTGAAAACACAAACAAATTGTTTATCAATTTTCATATTTCAATATGACATTAAAAGAAGTTTGTGAAATTGTATCTATGATACTCACAAAACCAACAAGGTTATGTTTGGATTCTTCAAAATAAAAACCTCTATTTTTCTTCCCACATATAATCTCCAGCACTAATATCCCATAGCTAAATACATCAGATTTTATTGAGTACAACCCATCAGCAGCATATTCTGGTGCCATATACCCGCTGCAAAATATAGCCATTAGAAGTTTATAACAAAGTAATTGGTAAAGATATGGAAAGCTTGGAATTTGTTTGCCTGAAAGTAAGGCTTGGATGAGAAACTTACTAAGTCCCCACTACTCTTTTTGTATTGCCTTCTATTTCCTCATCTTCAAAAGTTTTTGCCAATCCAAAATCTGATATTTTGGGGACTAACTTGTTATCAAGTAAAATGTTACTTGCTTTTAAATCTCTATGAATAATTCGTAGTCTTGAATCTTGATGAAGATACATTAGTCCTCGACCAATTCCCATAACAATATCAAAGCGTTTTGACCAATCTAACAACTCTCCTCTAGTTTCGTCTGTCAACATCAAAAGGTGAATTTGTTTTTTAGTTGCAATGGTTAATTCAAGACTGAATAAGCTATTTAATTATTGTACTAAAACATTCAATGAAATGATAAAACCGAATATAAAAGATAGAAAAGTCATTGGTTGAAGAGAAGGTACCGAAAATGAAAGAATTCAAACTTTTGTTTGGCATATATTCATACACCAACATTTTTTCTTGTTCGTGAATGCAACAGCCAATAAGTTTTACAAGATTTCGATGCTGTAGTTTCACAATAAACTTCACTTCAGTTTTAAACTCAGTCAATCCTTGTCTTGATTTTGTTGATAGTCTCTTCACAGCAATTTCTCGCCCATTTGATAATTTTCCCTGCATGAAGACATGAGTGGGCATATATTTTTATAGTTATACTACATATATAGATGATTACTCTTAGTTTATGATTCATATAGTACCTTACCCAGTATACATGTCCAAATCCACCTTGCCCAATTTTGTTCTTCTCTGAGAAATTATCAGTGGCTCTTGCTATTGTTGGCAGATCAAATATTGGGAGATCTGCATCGTTAGCGTCATCGTTTTGAATTTGGACTTCTACATTTTTTAATTTCTCTGAAATCATGGAAGGAAAACATTAGCTTTTTGCACAAGCAAGAGAGGGAAGTTAATTAAATGGAATACAATCATCTATTGAAAAGCAAGTTAAATTGACAAATCATTAAAGCAACAAATCTTTCAGTCAACATGATTTTGATGGAATTTGGTAAAGCCGCCTGGATGTCATAAACAAATAAACAAACACGAACAATATATTAGTTTGAATAATCTCCTGCCAATTTATCATAGCCACCTAATAGTTTACTCAGTCAAGGAACATCATTAATTATGAATTAGTTTCCTGTTAGTCTGTTAAAAGGTACTGTCATCTCAACTAATCCAGATGATTACATCCCTTTCTTTCAATTGTACTTTACATTTTTAGCATGAAATTTACAAATAACAGATCAGTACATTGGTAACTTTTTTGTATGATTTATTGGAGAAAGAAACTCTTACCAGTCCTGTTTCTGCGGACTCTGTAGATGATATAGCCCCCAACTAAAAGCATTCCAAAAGTTGCACCACTGGCGATAATAACGATCATTATCAACTTCTTTTTATTCCCAGATTCTGTAATCATGGTTTAAATCATTCTAAGGAACATGAAAATGAACATACTAACGGGAAAGTAGAAATTCTTACCTAATTCTGAAGCATCCATTCGAATGTATAGATCCTGTCCCCCAGATGCATAATATCTGATGTCAGTTAGTTCACCAAACCATAAAGCACAACCACTGCCTGTGCCCCTGATATCTGAATTAGCAAAGGCCGTGCAAGAACAATTTTCCAAGCACTTTTGTCTACATTGCTCTAGATTCATTGTCACATCCAGCCAAGTTTGCGTCGTGTCGGGTGCCTTCAAGCCCGTGAATTTAACGAACCCATGTTTGTGTTTTTCAGAGCAGTTCAGAGGTTTATTTCGCACACACCCACCAGACCAGTCCGCTGAATTCCAATGCTGTGGTGACTTAGGCTTGAACCCTTTTAAACAGTGGCAAACTGGTGATTCAGTAATTTTGCAGTTCCCATTTGCTCCACAGAGGCCATAGGTGTCGCAGAAGTCTACTGGCTTTTTCGAGTAAATAGTCCATTTTTTCTCATTTTCCAGCCATACATAACGATAGCGAGCAGAATCTGTTTGGTTCAATACCAGTCTTGTTAATACAGAACTATTTTTGAGGTTGAACATGTAGTAGTACTCGTCCCCATCGTCAACAAAGGTGTATTCGAAAACAGGGTTGGTCTTCACTTCGGGAGAACCACTCCCTTGCAAGCCATTCCACGGTCCAAATCGGTAAAATTTGTTGGTTCCCTTCATTATATACGAATCGGGGTAGCTTTGAAGCATTACAATGCTGGTAAAATCTCCAGGAGATGGATCATCTGGGCTCCTCCAAGCTGTTAAAGACCATTCCCAACCATTTCTTAAGTCCCATCCATATTTCATACCTGGCAATAACGTATCAGACGGATGATCAAAGCTTTGCCATAAGTAAGCTTCTGGGTTTCCTGCATTCTCATCGATCACCACAAGATTTCCAGAATCCAAGAGCCGGGCGGTGGGACTCTGTGCCTGAGCCATGGAATTTGTTGACCAAAGAATAGTGCTGTTCTGGGACAGGACAAGATTGCCGGAAGTGGCCATAGTTAAGGTAACAGTGGAATCGTTGATTGGGTTGATGCGGTTTGCAACCCAAACAACGGTTTGAACCGGGATATTCTTGTACCAAATACCAAGGTAGCGTTTGTTGGAAGTACCAGGAGTGAAGAAACCGAGTTCAAAGGTTCCACCTTTTGAAACCAACGTGGTTCCATCGTCCTTGATGAACTGCGACTCACGAAGATAATCAGCTGCAATGGAAGGCTGGAGGATGTGAAGAAGAACACAGGCAAAGATGCTCAACGAACCAAGAAGGTCCATTGAAAGTCGAGTGAAATCGAAGGAGGAAAAGTTATTTTGATGGACCTTTCTTATACATGTTGGGCTGCTCATACCATGCTGACACAAAACAGATCCAAAGTGGTTTGCGATCTGTCAATTTTAGGTTTTGTTTGGGTCGGAGCCACGCTGACTTGGAACAGTGAAATTCAGTTGGCCTTAGTGATCGCGCAAGGGGTACAGAAGCGCAAGAGCAATTTTTTCTCCAAAAGTTTTTCGCTTACTTGAAAGACATAACAGATAGATAATGTGTTTGACTAGTTCTAAGGGAAGGGTTAATTAATACTTAATTCGCTGTATTATTGTTGATGCTGGTGGGTAGACTTTTTTATTTTGCCTTCTCATTGTCCTTTCAAAGTCATGTGCAAAGATAGTTTTTTAGAATAAAATTAAAAATACATGCTACATTCAAAGAAGCTAATTGTATAAAAATGTTAACAAGTGTCAATAATATACATCTTATCTTTGAGATTCTATGTAACATAAAGTAATTGTCTCGATAAAGCCATACAACTAATCCAGAAGCGTACGTATGCTAGATTTTAGGAATTCCATATATATATATATATATATATATATATATATTGATTACAAGAAATTATAAAAGCACTGCCAGACATAAGTCGTTGAAAAAAACAAAGATATAATAAATATAAGAAATTAAAGACTGTTATAAAAATTTTTATTGATTTAGTAGTGAAGATTTTGCCTCAAAAAAAAAAATAGAGCTAAGAGATCTTGTAACATAAAGAAATCAAATGCTCAGTAAAACTGAAATGTAACTATTGAACAGAGTAAATGGATGAAGAGCAACATACATTTTGGTACTGAGATAGGTCAATGAACGGGCCTTGTGATTCATTACTATTTATAACTTCTATTTCCTTCAACAATTTAATTATTATCTATGCATTATATATACCAAACTCATACAATTGATATATCTAGTTTGCATAATATCTACATTTATGTTGTAAATGTGACAGCTCAAACCCCAAAAATTTTATTCATCTTCAACATCACTCCGCATTCAACTCAATAGCAACCCCGAAGAGAATGTCCAAACAATCAATTTATTTATGTGTACATTATAAAGCATGGTTGCATGAAACTTACGGCCATCACAATCAAATTCATCTGGCATCAAGTAAACTCACTGTCATTTCATTGGTTGAGCTGCATTCCTTCTGACCTGAGCTAGAAGTATGCCCTTTGATTGAGCCCATGCCATGAAAGAAACCAGGCTGTTTAGGTTCAGGGAGTGCCACTTCACTTTCCAACATCAAAATTGCAGATGCTATGGTGGGCCTATCATCTGGTTTCTGTTGCACACACAACAGACTCACATGAATGCACCTTACTACTTCTGATACATTGCACAGTTCCTGCATGTTCTTGTCAAGCAATTCTAAAACTTTTCCTTCTTTCCATAGTAACCATGCCTGAAATATACATCTTATATATCAATTATCATATTTTAGTTTGACATTCAATAAATTTTACAATATCGTATCTGAAGTACTCACATGACTAGCAAGATTGTGTGTTGAGTCTTCTAGATAAAATCCTCTGTTTTTCTTTCCACTAATAATCTCTAGCATTAATATACCATAACTAAAAACATCGGATTTCACTGAATATAGCCCATCTGCTGCGTATTCAGGAGCCATGTACCCACTACAAAATATGCATGAGAAGACTAGAACAAATTAAACATGAAAAGTTAAGAAGTTGGATAAAAGTAAGATTGAGTCTAGAAACTTACTAAGTGCCCACTACTCTCTTTGTAATACCTTCTTTTTCCTCTTCTCCAAAAGTTTTTGCTAGCCCAAAATCTGATATTTTTGGGATTAACTTGTCATCAAGTAAAATATTACTTGCCTTCAAATCTCTATGAATTATCCGTAACCTTGAATCTTGATGAAGATATAAAAGACCCCGTCCAATACCCATAATAATGTGAAAGCGCTCAAACCAATCCAACAATTTCCTTTTGGTTTCATCTATTATCATAAAAGAGGAAGTTATTTCTCTTGTTAGAATTATCAATTCAAATTTGAAGGGTCATGCAATGTTTGACTATTGCTACTAAAATACTTCATATCATTATAAATTTTCTTGTCTTCATACCAAAAATGAAGGAGTCCAAACTTCTATTTGACATGTACTCATATACCAACAACTTTTCTTGTTCATGGATGCAGCAGCCAAGAAGTTTTACTAGATTTCGATGTTGGAGTTTGGCAATAAATTTTACTTCATTCTTGAATTCAATCAATCCTAATTCCGATCTTCTTGAAAGCTTCTTCACAGCAATTTCTTGTTCATTTAATAACTTTCCCTGCATTTTGAACTTTTTGAGTGTACTGAAATTGTGCTATTCATAAAATACACAGTGATTATTCTAAGTTCATGACTCAAACATTGAATTACCCAATATACAGGTCCAAATCCACCTTGTCCGATTTTGTTCTTCTCTGAAAAATTTTCGGTGGCTTGTTCTATTATTGGAAGGTCAAACAGTGGGAGATCTAGATCTTCTCTTTCATTGTTTTGAATCTCAACTTCTGCATTTTTTGATTTCTCTGAAAAAAAAAATCATGGAATCTGCGTAAGGGCAAGGGATTTAGTTATGACCTTGTGCATAATTGTTCTAAAGGCCAAGGAAAAACACCGGTGACTACTGCAACATGGGGGGAAATCAAATTTTACTTAAGAAGTATAGGGTGTGAGGTTAAATAAGCACAAACATTGCAGTGTGAATTTTTTTCCCGCTGGGTTCCCATCATCAACAATTAATTAACTGATTCTAGGACTGAATGAAATACAAAAGAGGATGATCATGAAGGAATTCTCATGTTCATGTTGCTAAGTAGTGTGGTATCATAATCCTAACCCATATTTACAAATACTCCTTCAATCTTAAATATAAGACTCATTTTGTAGTGTAAATTATACAACAAAATAGATCTTATATTTAGGATTGGAGAAGTACTAGATATGAACGTGGCCAATCTTGCCTTATGAAATCATAACAACTATCGCATTTCTAAGAAGAAATCTAAAAGAGTAGGACTTGGTTGAAATTTAAAAATAGGAGTAAGGAACTTTACCAATCCTCTTCCTGTAGACTTTACAAATGAGATAGCCCCCCACTAAAAGCATGCATAAAATCACAGCAACGGCGATGGCAACGATCATTATCAACTTTTTATTGTTCCCAGATTCTGCATAACGGTGATTGAATGATTCATGCGCAAAGAAACTGGGGTGAAAATTCAAGCATGAAAATATACCACATAAGCGGAAAATAGAAGTCCTCACCTAATTCTGAAGCAGGCATTCGAACATACAGATCCTGTCCTCCAGATGCATAAGATCTGATATCATTTAGATCACCAAACCATAAGGCACAACCACTACCTCCCCCTCTAATATCTGAATTAGTATAGGCCATGCAAGAACAATTTTCCAAGCACTTCTCTCTGCATTGCTCTAGGTTCATTGCCTTGTCAAGCCAAGCGTCTGTAGTTTCAGGCACTTTTAATCCTTCCAATTTTATAAATTTGTCTGTGCCATTTTCAGAGCAGTTCAGAGGTTTATTGCGGACACATCCATCAGACCAGTCCACTGAGTTCCATTTCTGAGGTGACTTGGGGGTGAACCCTTTTAGGCATTGGCATGGGGGTGATCCAGTGATAACACATTTCCCATTAGGTCCACACCACTTATATTGATCACAATTGTCACTAGGCTTTTTAGTATAACTCTTCCAATTTTCCTCACCTTTCGTCCACACATATCGAATTCGAGCCTCCTCAGTTTGGTTGATCACATACCTTGAGATAACAGAACTATTCTTGAGGCTGTGCCAATAATAGTATATCTCATCTCTAGTAGATACGAACCCAAAATCAAAAATAGGATTTTGTTTCAGTTCCGGGGAGCCACCAAATCCCACGCCATTCCAAGGTCCAGTTCTGAAGAACTTTGATTTTCCTCTCAGTATATATAATTCAGGATGATTACGAGGGTCGACAGTTATAGAAAAATCACCAGGAGATGGATCTTCTGGAGTCTTCCAAGATGTTAGACGTCTATTTAAACCTGTTCTTAGGTCGCATCCCAATTTCATCCCCGAGAGCAGTGTGTCAGTCGGATAGTCGAAGCTTTGCCACAAATAGGCTTCTGAGTTCTGGCCTCTCTCATGTCGTACCACAAGGTTTCCCGAATCTAGGAGCTCAGCCACTGAATTCTGTACTGGTTTCAGAGGAGTTGAGTACCAAATAACACTATCATTTTGGGTGAGGACAAGACTACCTGTGCTGTTGAGTGTTAAAGTAGCAGTGGTAGATGAACCATTGATCGGGTTATCTCTGTTTGCTACCCAAACAACTGTCTGAATTGGGATGCTTCTGTACCAAATCCCCAGATACTGTTTACCGGAGTTTCCAGGAGTGAAGAAGCCAAGTTCGAAGCTTCCACCTTTAGAAAATATTCTCATGCGATCACTCATTGGGGAATTAGACTGAAGGATGGAACCAACTGCCATAGAAGCTTGGAAAGAAGGGACAAGTATGGAAACAACGGTAGTGATGAAAGAAACAATGTCCATGGAATTGTAGAGTGTATAGGGAAGGCCAATACAAGCTAAATTCCTCTTGTTGCAGAAAACTGTTTGATTTTAGATGGAGGAACAAGCTTATCAGTGAGGCCATCAGCCTACCAGTGCCCGAGATGAGAGGTTATGACAAGTCAACGGCAGCGGTCATAGGACACATAGTGGATGGGAAATCAAAGCTCAGAGGCGAACAGGAACTTTAAACGTATGTGTATTCACAAAGGGAGTGGATTAAGCGATGAATCTTTGTATGACTTAAGACTTAAATGTACGAGTAGGATTTCACGAGAGTACCCCTAAGTTTAGCCGTCATGAATTTCCAATTTCCAGTCGTTGTTCCTGTTGCTTTACCGCGTATATCACTATATCTCCTCCTGGGTATAACATCAATTTGCCCAGGACCGCCAAGAGTGATGGGTCCAAATTTCAGTTTTTCCTGTGAAGTAGGGGCGGACTCAGTTATTCTGTGGGCCCCCTCATTCCAAGTTTCCAACATCCTCCGTCTTATCTCTTGTTCCACCAATGGGCCTTT